ATATATGCGAGTTTCCATCCAGTGTTAGGTGCTCACGCATGCGTGTAGAGAAATGTCGACTTGTTTCGCCAACGTAACAAGCATTACAGCCTGCACATACAAATTTGTAAACAACACGCGAACGGAGACCAACTGGGATGGGATCTTTAGCTGAAAATTTGAATATAATTTTCCTTATATCTCCATTAAAAAAAAAATTGAATTAGCCTCCCCCCCCCCCCTTGAACGCGCCACAGATTTCCGAACAAGGTCGAAGTCGAGATTGCTTCCACGACCTCAATGAATTATTTATTATGAGGGTTATCCTTGATATGGGTTCCCCGACGAAAACTTCACTTTTCCCCGATGGATAAAAATTACCCTTCTATGTAGCTCAGAAATGATACTCCAACTGTGGCGGGTCCAGGAAGTCGAAATAGAGGGGTTCCAGGGAGAGTCTTGCGTAAATAGAATGTCCACCCATATTTTTTCTTACCTCAGCCCCAACAGTTGTGGGGCTGAGGTAAGAAAAAATATGATTATGGCACCTGTAGATGGCCGGAAATGGCACTCTCAGATTAAAAGTTGAATACAATTTTGTTTGTTTTCTCCATTTTTTTAAAATAATTTTGAAAAAAAAAAATGGGATGGGGTCCCGTGCTGACTGGGTTTCCCCTTGAATCTGTTCAATAGAACACTTGACATTTTTTTTTACTCAATATAGTTTTTACAACTTATAACACATTAACTACAATGTACTGTAAATTCTGTAGTTAACTTTCAGACAACTTCATTTAAAAAGTGGCCTAATAAGTATCTTATTGTTTTCGTTAAATTAGAGTTTAAATGTGGTTATATTACGCTAGTTTGACGGTTTACCGTAAGCCAATCAGTTACGCTTACTATACATCTTCGTGGTTAGCATAAAGAGAACTAGAACGTCGCTCCATTAAAAGTGCCTACCTCCCCCCATATGCCTAAATACAGAATTCATGAATGCAGGCGATTTTTTTCTGCATGCTCGAGGGTGGGTTTCAAGGAAACTTTACAGACGCACGTTTACAGACGTCAATCAACATTTGGTTGCTCAACTCAAAAAGGGAACTTGTAATGTTCGTTAGAAAATGAAAAAAAAAATGTATATTTTATAATAATAATAATATAATAATAATAATAATAATAACAATAACAATAACAATAACAATAATAATAATAATAATAATAATAATAATAATAATAATAATAATAATAATAATAATAATAATAATAATAATAATAATAATAATAATAATAATAATAATAATAATAATAATAATAATAATAATGATAAACGAAGTGATCCCTGATTTTAGTTAGGCCTATGATGAATACATACGCCTACAGCATCATCAACAGCCCACTACCACTCCCCTTCCCAAACTGTCACTAGTTAAGGATGTCCCATAAAACCAAATTAATTAAAGATATTACCACCCTATTTATTGTAAGCCTACTTAGTTGTTTCTATGCCTTGTTGAAATTGTATTTTTCCTCTCCAAAAGAGAGGGGATTACACTCGCCTCTCCAGAGGAGCGTGATTACCCTTGCCTCTCTAAAGGACAGGTGAAGGGTAGAGCTATGTAGTAGCGCTCACCTGTGTGGGTGTGTGTGTGTGTGTGTGTGTGTGTGTATGTGTGTGTATTTTTCTGGGCGCATTAATAATAAATTACTGGACCAAATTACTTCAATTTTTTACTCATTGATAGTATTACATGTATCTCAGTTCTCGAATTTGGTGCTGATCGGTTATAAATAAGTTGCAGATTTTAGAATGTTATTTATTTCAGGTCACAATAGACAGATCCAACTCAAGCGGAACGTTCGGCCTCGTTTGGCTAGGCCGAGCCGACGCGAGTTGATCGACCGCGGGCCAGAGTAGGGGTGTCTCAAATTCTAGTCGGAGTACTGGAAGCGGTCCGATGATGCTAGCCCTCGATTGCCTAGGCCGATCGATCAACCGCGGGCCATTATTTTCAGTACATAGATTTCATTTCATTTCATTTATTTCGTCTCATTAAAATACATACATAAAAAACAACAACCGGTTACAATACAACAAAGTAAAAGATAGGCCTATTTCGCAACATGACGAGGGTTTGTCATCTCAGATAGTACAATGATATTTTCAGTTGATAATATGCTTTATATTTTTATAATTGTAACTTTTATTTATCTGTATTCATTTAGTTTTGTATGGGTCAAGCCTGCTGGTGGGAGTTTTTCCTCTGTCATAAAGGAGTGAACCAATAAAAAAATAAATAAATAGATAAATACTCGTATAGGCCTATAGAATCTGAGTTTATTGCTCTCTTTCTATTGCTACATTCTGAGATTGATTTTCTTTTTCTTTGAAAAATATAATAATAATAAAAATAATAATAATAATAATAATAATAATAATAATAATAATAATAATAATAATAATAATAATAATAATAAAATAATAATAATGATGTCATCTTATTAGGCGCACGTATCCATCTCTTGGTAGAACTGCTTGCGGTGCCGTTTTCCACCTGCAGAGTGTAGATGTAGCCTTTTTCTGCATTATTATATGAATTTTTTAAATTTTATTTAAATTATTTATTTATTTTTATGTATATTTATTTATGACAGACCTGACATAGATGGGAAAGATAGGCAAAATAAAATGCAAATATTCTTCGGCGCATTCCCAGACCTCTACCTAGGTGGCTCGAACAATGGAACTGGAAACACATTTGCCCTGCCACAGACGACCGGGTGCTCTCAGGAGTTATAATCGAGACAATGGCCCCAAAAAATAAATGCCGGCCAGTGAAAGACGGGGGGGGGGGGGGGGGGAAGCAGTTATTGTATTTGATCAAAATGAGAAATTAAAAGAAAAGATTTTCAGACATGAACTCACAAAGTTCTAAACCTACCAAATAAAGGAGAAGAAACCATCCTCCATACATAAAATAATAATTTCATCAGTGTTCGTTTTTGATATCTGATCAACTTACCACTGCGACTGCTTTAGACATTAGCACTTCTTGAGGTGACATGACCGAGAAATAGGCAACGTTCGTCATCACATATACAGCCGTCACGATTGGGATTGAAATGATGATGGCGAGAGGTAAGTTTCTTGAAATAGAATAAAATAATAAAGGCATAAAAAAGTGTAGCAGCTTTTACACAAAATGGTGGGATATAAGCTAGGGATAATATTTTTTACTTTGACTTTGAAAGCTACCGTAATGATGATATTAAAATGAAGAGAGATTTATGTTATATGATATGGTTGTATATAATAAATAAACAGCTATAAATAAATAACTATAATAAACAGCAATAACAAATCTGAAAACTCAATTAAAAATACTATCTCAATTGACAGGATTTGATATCGAATTCAGGCCTGCTGAACAAATTTAAAAATGAAAAATATAAAGCAAATGTTTCATTTTAGGCCGTGACCACCGAGCGTAAAAATTAAAAGAAAAATGGATATCTGAACCTGTAGCGTATATTTCGGTTACTTATTTTACAATTCAAAATTATAATGAAAAAATAATTGATGTACATCTCTGTAGCTTAGGCCTAATCTTTACATAACATTTCTGCCAGCAACGTAGGTCTTCACGTGACATACCGTATGCCTAGTAAAATGAAATGAAAAAAAAAAACATTGATGTACATTTTTGTAGCTTAGGCCTAATCTTTGCATTTCTTCCAGCAGTAAGGACTTCACATGTCTAGTAATATGTCCGTAAATTATAACTGCTATTTTTTCGATATGTGACTAATTAAAAGTCGATAACTTATTAAATGTTTTACGCCAATTTTAATGTCTTCTTGGTTTTCGGTGTTTTTACCTACTTTTTCGGTTTCAGTTTGATTATGTTTGTCCATATCCTAGTCAAGTTATATTTTGTTACAGGGAATGGACAGTATCTACGGTATATCTACGGCGGAGGAGATTGACCTGGAAGACGTATTCACTCCTTTATTTGTTAATATTCGACTCCTCTAAAATAATTATATATTGTTAAAATGTAAATACAAAATCAAAGGCAAATAAGGGGTGGCCCTGTCGGGGAGAGTTCCCCTCCTCCCCGTAAAAAAAATATTATTTTCATATTAGTAGACTCTAAAATCGATTAAATAAGCCTTTGAAACCAAAAATTGTCAACATTTTCTGGGTCTTCGCCCTCTGGACCACTTTCGAAACCTTTTAATCGAAGCTCGGCCACTAGGACTCACGGCGGTCTACACAGTATTTTTAGTGCACATGTGCTATTATGCACACCAGACCACTGGTTTAACGTCTCATCCGAAGGACAAGTTAATTGGGAAGCAACGGGTAGGAGTAGTGCGCATTGTCAGGTCTAACTCCCTCTGTCCAACTATCCTCACAAGCGAGTATAGATAGCCAAGTATCCAACCTCCTCTCTCACAAAAAAAAAAACAAAAAAAAAAAACGTATTCGTCTATTTAGAGACAATCTGGTCGTTAGCCATTTTCTATTATTTACAGGAGCCAAGCTACGTTTAATATTCTCAAAAAAGCGTACATCACAAGTCAATAAACACAAATCAAGGCAAGTACATGAACACAGGCAATACGAATTAAATATTAACGCTACACATGTAACAAAGTAAATTGCGCTCTTGGGGTACGGACTCACTGCAGACCCACGCTACCGTAATTGATGTTTTGGCCACAATCAGAATAGTTAACTATGTAAAGTAGGTCCGTAATGTCTGTGATTAGTAACCATAATGGAAGCTCGGTAGGCAGATAACTTGACATATGGGCCAATTGGTGCGCTCGGAAGGCGGCAACATTAAGAGAGCACGTTATGTTGGCGTTGGGCTAGACGATTTATAGTTCTCAATCAGCGTATTCGACAATAACTACTCAGAAGGGAGGCTTTATATGAGTGATGTTTAATTACAATTATTGTAAATGAGGGTGAGAAATCGTCATATTGGACATCACTCACATTGATTGACGACTCCGATTTATTTATCATGGGAACGCGTTTGTAAATCATAAAATGAAATATTAGTTTTCTAAAGCAGGACGTTCATACTTTCATACGATAATTCTGGATAATTTTTAATATGAATTGAAAATGTGTAGTGCAAATCAAGAAATAAAAATTTATTTTTTTCAATAGCATTTAATTCGTTCCAGTACAATAAAATCCAGAATGAGGTAAAGAGATAAAGTTGACTCACCCTACCAAGGTACCAACAAAAACCCAACGCTTGTTTTGGCATGATTTAAATACACTGATTGAAAACGGGCAATTCCGAGTAAATCTTTTAAAATTGGATCAAATTATGAAACGAAATATCTTATACACAAGCATGAGTAAACTGCTATCAAATCTATTCCTCAGTTTCAATGACATGATATGCTACAAAGGGCCAAGCCTATTTTTTTTATTGAGGAATTATTTAATAAAACCGATATGCTACGATGTATCAACTTCACTGCGTATGGATCACTCAAGAACGGTGTGGGTTTAAAAGTTATGGCACCACATCTTTAAAAAGCAATATATAGCCTGAAACCTCCCTGCTGAAACTTAGCAAGCACTATAAAAGTAGGCCTATATCATGTCAAAACGCATAGGCGTAGATCCCGGGGGGATGGGGGATATAACCCCCCAATATTTGACAAGGGGGGGGGGAATGGTCCATTGTATCATCCCCCCCCCCATATTTTGACTATGTATGGGATAAAATGGAGCTTTACACACTTCAAAAGACTGTCACAGAAATAATTTGCACTGTCTTATGCGCTTACAAAGATGAAAATTAGCATAATGTATTAATGTTGATAACAAAATTATTTTATCTGGAACCAATCTAAGCTCTTCTTCCTTAGATGTTAGATGTGCTTGCAAAGAGAGCCACATTTCACGCTGAAGGGTGTGTACATCAGTAATGCTAGGTCAGTTCCAAGAATGTTTAAGGTTATATCGGTTGATGAGGAATTTATTGATTAGGCCTATAATAGCAAATTGCATCAATTTATTTTGCAAAAACAAGGTTTCCAGCTTCAGAGGAGGGCATATCTCCTGTCCGCACAAGGGCACACATTGGCGCTAACACCAGGCGCGTAACAGGGGTCTTGGGTCAGAGTGGGTATTTATTTTTTTTATTTTATTTTTTTTAAATTTCAACCATCTTTAAAGAGGGTAACCCTTCTAGTTTAGCCCAGTAGGTTAACTGATATTCAGGGGCCCTCTTTAATAAAATTAAATAACAGTACAACCAACATCATAACAACATAATAATAATAATAATAATAATAATAATAATAATAATAATAATAATAATAACAACAACATACAATCCTCATTAGTAATTTACCATACCCACCCCACCCCACCCCACTCCCCATATAGAAAACAATACGACATAGGGCTTATCTTATTTATAATATAGGCCACACACGTGTGTTTGAAACTAAATATAAGCATTACCATCATGGTTTTATTTATTACAAACATATTCTTTCACCATTTATACACATTGAGGCCCTTTAGGTTAAAATGATCTATCTTAAATTTGTCTTTCTTGAGTTTGGGACTATTATGTGTTTAAATAACTTAAAAGGATAAAACTAAAAAAGCCCTAAAAAATGCGCGCCAAGCGCGCAAAATATTTTTGTGTTTTTAATTCTAATTTCGTCGGAATTGATGAAAACTCCCTAAAATGTGCAATTTATAGAGGAAATTGGCCTACCGTAACAAGAAATGCACGCAAAGAATTTGAGAATTTTAGACACATATAGGATGCAATTGTCAAGGGGTGGAGAAAGATTTTCCAAAGATGGATATTTTCCCCTTGTCCCCCGGTGTTTTTAATTCTAATTTCGTTGGAATTGATCAAAACTCCCTAAAATGTGCAATTTTTAGAGGAAATTGGGCCATGTTAACAAGAAATGCGCGCGAAATTTGAGGTTTTTAGGCACTTTCAGGGGATGAAAGGGCATTTATTAAGGGGTGGGGAAGATTTTTCAAAGATAGATATTTACCCCTTGTCCCCCAGTGGTTACGCCATCGGGCAGCATAGATCAAAGGAGTTATGACAGTTTTTGAAGTGGAGAAGGTTTGCAGAGTGTTGTGAGTCTGGTCATTTTTATTATTGTCTTTATTTTTCTCTTCTCTCTCTCTTTTTCTATCCTTTTCTTTTCCTCTTCTTTCTCTTTCCCTCCCTTTCCCCTCTTTTTTTTTTTTTT